TCTTGCTGAGTTCCGATACTCCTATCTCAGCTTCCCAAGTTGCTGGGATTACAGGCCTGTGCCACTTTGGCCACTGGTTGGTTGGGTTATTATTGAATTCTGAGTGCTGGTTATTAAGTATTATGTATACAAACCTTTGTTAAAAAGATTATCTTCCTTTCGATGAATTGACTTTGCACCTTTGTGAAAAATTAATTGGCCATATTCATCCAGATTTATTTCTGGACTTTTTTTTTCCTGTTCCATTGAACTATGTATCTCTCCCTTCGCCAGTACTACATTTTCTTGATTACTGTAACTTTTGAGTAATTTTTAAAGCTCTCAACTTTGTTCAGTTTTCTGAGCTGTTTGAATATATTAATGCCTTTGATGTTCCGTAGAAATTTTAGGTGTATCTATGTATTTAAAGAGAAAATCCTGCTAGGGTTTGATTACAGTTGTGTTAAATTTATAGATGAATTTGAGGGGAATTTTTTTTTTTTTTTGGTGCTGTGGAATTGAACCCAGGGCCTTCTGTATATTAAGCATATGCCCTACTACTGAGCTAAATCTCCAGCCCAGGAATTGACATCTTAAGTACACAGAGACTTAACCTGTGATTACGGTTGTCTTTCCATTTATTTAGGTTGTCTTTGATTTCCTTAGTGTACATTTTGTAGTAGTCACTATATATGTCCTTACATATATTTTTCTTAATTTTAGTTTCCAAATATGCATTGCTGTTTTGCAAAAATATGCTTGGTTTTTGTATATTAACCTTATATGCTGCTAACTTGCTAAACTAACTCATTAGTTCTAGAAGATCATTGTGGAATTGATCTATGGGGTTTTCCTCATATTTGTGAGTAGTTTGTGAATAGGGACACTTTTATTTCCTCTTTTTTCAATGTATATGACTTTTACTGGTTTATTGCCCTGTTTCATGAGCTAAAACTTCCTGTGCAGAGTTGAACAGAAGGGGTAAAATGGACATCTTTGCCTTGTTCCTGATCTTTAGATAGAAATATTCAGTCTTCACTTTAAGTAAGCTATTGAAGGCTTTTCTGTAGGTGTGTATAGTAGGTTTTTTTTTTTTTTCATTAGTATAATGAAATACCCAAGGCAGACTAACTTTATTTTAAAAAGATGTTTATTTCACTTAACAGTTTTAAAGACTGAAAGTCCAAGATCAGAAGGGCCTATAGTACTATGGCTGGTGTGCTTGTGAGAATGAGAGATCACATCACCGAATGGGAATCCAGAGAGACTAGGGCTAGAAGCCCTTCTGAAGGCATGCCCCCAGTTGACCCAAGGATCACCCCTTAGGCCCCACCTCTTAAAGCTTCCACTGTCAACCTCATCAAGGACCTAGCCTGCAACAAATGAACACTTGAGGGAAACTTAAATCACAGCTAGCTGGGAATGGAGGCACACACCTGTAATTCCATCTACTTGGGAGGCTGGGGCAAGAAGACTGCAAGTATGAGAACAACCTTGGCAACTTAGGAAGACCCCATCTCAAAATAAAAAGGACTGGGGATGTAGCTCAGTGGTAGTGTAGCCAGTTTCAGTCTCCAGTATGGCAAAACAACAAAATAAAAACCCAAAACCTAAATCGTGGCAGTGTGCTTTATCAGCTTGAATTCCTTTTATTCCTCATTTACTGAGTGCTTATATCTTGAACCGTTGAATTTCTTCAAATGCTTTTTTTTTTGCATCAATTTATATCTTGAGGCATACATTTATTGGGCTTTATATATTGCATCTCCAGGATAAACCCCACTTGGTTGTGGTGAAAGATGTAAGAGTTCTTTGCATATATTGAATTTGATAGTATTTTGCATCTGTATTCATGGAGGCTATTGGCTCATGATTCATTGATTCATGGGGGATATTTCTTTACTTTTTCTGGTTTTAGTAGCAAGGCAATGCTTAACTCATAAAATGAATTAGAAAGCATTCCCTTTTCTTTGATTTTTCTGTAAGACCTTTTTCTGTAAGGGCTCATGTTATTTCTTTAAATCTTTGGTTGTATTTGCTAAAGAAACCATTTGGGGCCACAGATTTCTTTTAGGAAGATTTTTAGCTACAAATTAAATTTATTTAGTAGATATAGGATTATTTAGGTTTTATATGTATTCTTGGATAAGATTTGATAGCTTATGGCCAGCAAAGAATTAATACATTTTATCTTAGTTGTCAAATTTATGTGTACAAAGTTATTTGTATCATTACTTAATCATCCTTTTAGTGTCTGTGGGGTTTGTGGTGATACCTCATTCATTCCTGGTTTTGATGATCTTCTCTATTTCCTATATTCAGTTTCATTGATTTCTGCTCTAATTTTTGTTATTTCTTTTATTCTGCTTGTTGTAGGCTTATATTATTTTTCTCTTCTATTTTCCCAAAGTGGAAACTTGGATTATCAATATTAAAGCCTTCTCCATTTTGAACATATCTATTCAATATTATAACTGTACCAATAAGCACTGCTTTTAATGTATCGCACAATATGTGATAAATCTTATTTAGTTCAAAACCTTTTATAATTTCTTTTGGGGCTTCCTTGACCCATATTTTATTCAGAATCATTTGATCTCCAAATATTTTCAGCGTTTCCAGATCTCTGTTATTAATTTCTAATTACATTGTCATTTAAAAACAACTTTGTGTGATTTCTGCTCATTTAGAGTTGTCGAAATGTGTTTTATGGCCAGAAGGTGGTCTATGTTGGTGAATGTTCCATATGAACTTGAGAAGAATGTGTCTCTCGATGTTGGATGAAATTATCTATAGATGTTAATTCTGTTCAGTTAATTGATGCTGTTGTTCAGTAACTATGCCCTTATGACCTGCTGGATCTGCCAATTACTAATAGGGGGCTAGTAAAATCTTCAATTATAATGATGAGTTTGTCTGTTTCTCCTTGGAGTTCTATCAGTTTTTCCTACATGTATTTTGATGCTCTGTTGTTAGGTATATACACATTAAGAACTGTTATGCTTTCTTGGAGAATTGACCCCTTTATCTTTATGGAATGTTCTTTTTTACCCGGATAACTTTCCTTCTTCTAAAGTCTGCTCTGTCTGAAATTAATCTAGCTACCTCAGCTTTCTTTTGATTAGTATTAGCAAGGTATGTCTTTCTCTATCCCTTTTCTTTTCATCTGTGTCTTTATATTTAAAGTGAGTTTCTTAAATAACAGCATATAGTTGGTCTTGTTTGTTTTTATTCTGGTGTATAGTATTTGTATTTAATTGATACATTCATACCACTTACATTTTGACATAGTTGGATTGATATCTATTATTCTTGTAACTGTTTTACAGTTGATGTATTTATTCATTATTTGTTTTTAACCTGTCCCTCTTTTTCTTTCTTCTCTGGTTTGTCTTTTTGTTTGTTGTGCTGGGGAAGGATGCCAGGGCCTACACTTTCAGTGATCCATCCCATAAAGGCATGTTTCATTTCTGTTAAAAGTTTTTAATTTCTAGCATTTGCTTCTGGTTCACTGAGTTTGCATATCTCTGCTTATATTTCTCATTTATTTTTGCATGTCATGTACCTTCTCCTTTAAACCCCTAAACATAATGATCATAGTTAAACTCTTTATCTGATAATTCTAAAATCCTTGCTGTGTCAGAGTCAGGTTCTGATGCTTCCTTTCTCTCTTCCCACTTTTTGTTGCCTTTTAGCATACCTTGTAATTTTTTGTTGAAAGTCAGATGTGATGTATCAGGTGATAAAAACCAAGATGATTAGGCTGTTACTGTGAGGATTTATGTTGGTCTGGCTGGGAGCTGGCCTGGGTTCAATGTTTGCTACAGCTATAGCTGCCAGAGACTTCCTCTGATTCCCTTGTTTTCTTCTTGTTGTCCTTGGGTTACCCTAAGAACTCCTTCTTAAATAGAGTTCTTGCCTAGTAGCTCTCTCAGTTGTAACCCTCTGTACTGGAGCCCTGTTGATATGGCATGAGGGAGTGGAGGTGTTCTCTAATCTTATGATTAAATCTCAGTTGTTTAGCAGCCCTGAGTCCCTGGGCTGTGACCTTCAGAGGAGATCCTCAGTCTTATTTTTCCTTGCTTTACCTGAGACAGGAAGGCAAGAGAGGCTAGTGTTGGCTAATTTCCATTCCTCCAAATGAGATAAGACTCTGATAAACCAATTTTCCTTAGAAGGCAGGCCTTTTAACAAAGGAAAACTGAGTGTTTTTCAAAATGGAAAAGATTTTTTTCCACCTTCCCCTTCCCATGACCCTGGTGAGGGTCTTAGAGATAAAACCTATAAAACTATGAGCCATCTCTATAACTGGGCCCTAACTGAGCTTAAACCAGGAAGTCTCTGATAATTTTTAAGTGTGGAGGTTTCTCATATGATTTCAGTTTTCCACTGTGGTCATAGAGTATATTTTATAAGACTTCAATTCTTTTAAATGTATCAAGGTTTGTTTTATGACCTTGGATCTGGTCTCTGTTGGTGGGTCTTCCTCAGGAAGATTGTGTTGGCTGAAATATTCAACAAATATCAATCAGATTAGTTGATTGATGATGTTTTCCAGTTCGGTATCTTTATTGACTTTCTATTCTATGATTACTGAGAGAGGAATGTAGAGCCATCCATCTATAACTGGAACTACTCAATTCTCTCTTCAGTTTTTTCAATATTTTTAAGATAATTTGAAGCTCTGCTGTTTTCCGTGCATACTGATTTAGGATGGCTCTTGTCTTGGTGACCCTTTTATCATTTGCATGAAGGTGAAGGATGTAAGAGTTCATCCTCCTGTAAGTTATCCAGCTAGTCTGCCACAGTTTCATAGGTGCTATCAAAAAATAGAAGAGCCCTGGACAACAAGTCACAACTTTATTTAACAATAGTATTATCATTTGCACCAATGTCTTGAGCTCCATTTCCCAAAGTGTTACCAGGACCCTGGTCAAAGGCTTGACTCTAGGGGTCCTAACAAATTAGGTTCAATCACCTGCTGCATCAATAATTGAATTAATGAAGAGAGAAAGAAAAGATGGTGAATCAAGAAATGAATTTATTTGCAGTTTGGCTCAAATCAGAAGATAGCCAGTCTTAATATCTGTTTTCCCTGAACCAATATCAGCTTTAGGAATATATAGGAAGAGAACAAAAGCAGGGAGCCAAGAAATACATGTATGTATATCGTGTCAAGCTGTGGGAACTTCCAGCTGAGAGGCACGTTGCTATTTTGGTTTTGCAGGCTCCATTGATCCCAGGACTTCTGGGATGGGGGTGCAGTTTCCATTCAGCTTCTCTTCTCAGCATGAGATGGTTACCTGTAGGAAGCTGGGAAGGAAAAAAGCAACTTAAGAGTAAGGGTTCTTTTAAATCTTTCAATTTTAAAGGAGACCTTGTTACAAAAAGATGATGTGAAGGGGACCAAATAGTACTGCATCATGGGAGAGGATCCCTGAGATTAGGGAGCCTAAATGTTTTATAAAAGGTAATAAGCCTTCCTGGTTCTTGGTTCCCGATCTTCCTGGTTTTTAAAAATAAAAAAATCTCTAGCTTTTAATTAATATGTTTAGATCAAGGTCATCAAATTACCTATGGGCAAAATCTAACCAGTTGCCTGTTTTGTAAATAAAGTTTTATTAAAACATGGTCATTGGGCTGGGGTTATAGTTCTGTGGTAAAGCACAGTCTAGTATGCATTAGTTCCTGAGTTCAATCCCCAGTACCATATTAGAACAACAACAAAAACATAGTCACATGCTCATTTGTGTATGTATTTTCTATGGCTGCTTTTCTGCCACGAAGGCAGAGTTGAGTACAGTTGTAATAGAGACTGACAAATTCGAAACATTTACTATCTGGCCCTTCACAGAAAAAAAAAATATGCTCCCTGTTTACATGATTCACATTTAGTTTTTGGATTTATTTTGTAATTTCTTTTCTGTTTATTCCTCCTGTTCTTCATTCCTTTATTTTCCTTATCCTGTTTTGTTTTTGATTAAGTAAATATTTTTAGTATTTCATTTTAATTTAACTATTGAGTTTTTCATTTTATTCCTTTGTGCTTTTAGAAGTTACTCTATTGTAATATACATACTTAACATCTCATAGTCTAATTAGAACCAAGTTTTATCACTTTTTCAAGTAGAATGTTGTGACAAGAAAAAATATGTCCCAAATTAAATTATAAAGGCTAGATGGATGGCAGAGAAGGGGGCATAAGGCAAGTAAATTAGTTAATTGCTATGGCCTAAAAGCTACAAAAAGACTGTTTGAAACCTTCACTTAAGTTCCATTTGGGTGACCACCAGGGCCCCTACACCCTGTTTACATGTAAACTTTCCACACTGTTAACCCAACTAGTCCAGAATCTATAGTGCTTCTGTGGGACTGCCCTCCTATTCCAAAGCTTTCCCTGCTCCCTGGCATCCTGCCCTTCTTATCTATAACAAGTGTAGATTCAGTAAACAAATTATACTTGCCCTCTCCAATTCTGGTTGAGTGGACACTTTGCCAGCTGCTGTTTAGCCTTGCTGCTGGTCATTTGCAGAAACTTGTTCCAAGATGACTTTTATTGGCTAGTGGCTGTAAAGGGTCAAGAAACCCTTTTATTTCCTAGATCCTTTGGTCTTAAGAGTTATGGTTTAACAGATACCTTACTTACTACCACATAGATCCCTTTATTCTTTCTTTTAGTTGGAATATCTTTCTATTCACTTAGGTCTTCTTTAATTTCTCTCAGAATTATTTTGCAAGTTGCAGCATAGAAGTTGAGTAAATTTTTCATAGATTTATATATTTTTTAAAATATTTTTTAGTTGTAGATGGACACAATACCTTTATTTATCTATCTTTAGGTGGTGCTCAGGATCAAACCTAGTGCCTCACTCATGGTAAACGAGTGCTCTACCACTGAGCCACAAATGCAGCCCTAGATTTATATTTGAGTATATGTTTTTGATGCTCTAAATGGTGTTTAAATTTTTTCATTTTCAAATTGTTTTTTGTTATTGACATATGGAAATACAATTGACCTATACATTGAACTTGACCTGTACATTGACTGCTGAATTTATTAATTCTAATTGTGATTCTACATTTTCTATGACTAAAATCATTAGTCATCCACAAATAAATCTAGTTCAATCTAGTTGTTACACTTTTTCTTTTTTAGGGCAAAAAAAAAAAAAAAATTGTTGTCTTCTACCCTAGTAGGTTCAGTGGCTGGCCCCAGAATTAAATTAATGTAAGACAGATTAACAGGAAAAAAAACAATTTTAATGGACTACTTACTCATGAGAGTCCCACAAAAATATGAGACTCGGGACTGGGGCTATAGCTCAGTGGTAGAGCACTTGCTTTGCACATGTGAGGCACTAGGTTCAATCCTCAGTACCCATAAAAATAAATAAATAAATAAAGATAATGTGTCCATCTACAACTAAAAAAAAATTTTTTTTAAATGAGAACTAAAGAAGTGCCCAGGTGATTGAGGCTTGTGTCTTATTCCAAACTGTTGAGGGCCACAGCCGAGTCGGGATGACGCATGGCATTTTTGCCAGAAGTAGTGGTTGAGAGGTGACGCCAGTGAGTTCTCCCCCCAACTAGCTCAGCTACTCATCCAAATAATCAGAAGGCGGGTGTCCTACCTGCTACCTCAAATACCAACATTATTGCCCTGAAGTGTTAGGAAGTTCCTGTCAGGAGATACAATAGCCCTCCTAGAAGTCTGATTCCTACATATTCACCAACCCTGAACTAACTCACGTGCTTCACGTTTAGCAGTAGCAAGCCCATAACTCCTGCATTTGGCAAATGGATTTATTACAGAGGAACCCAGACTCTGCATCAAGTGGTCACAAACCACTATGCAATACTTCTATTGAATCAAAGATATAAAACTAGGGAATTGCCAGACTGTTTCATTAGGTGGAAAGAGCTTCCCAGGGTTCCTGATCCAAATTAGAAATCACTGATCTAAATCTCTAATAATGCACTGATACTGCATTCCTTGTAAAATAATGTCAAATTTCAATATTAGGAAAGAGAATGGAGGTTTATCATCACTCCTGTGTTGTGCTCTCTTGCCTTCATGGCTCTTTTCTCTCACCTGCCCCTCATACATCCTTCTGCTTGGTCCCTGTAGGAAGGATTTGAATGCATAGGGTCAGCTGCACTTAGAGGTCAAGGGTGTGTAACCTGGACTTGGAAGCTGAAATTTGAGAAGCAGGTAGCCCTTCTACCCTTTTCTGCTTTTCTGCTTTTACCTGCACATTTCATCTGGAGTCATAAATTCCTACCTGTTTTATTTTGTTGTTGTTAAGAGATTTTTAAAATGTTCTGTAACCAGGTGCAACGGTCCACACCTCTAATCCCAGCTACTGTGAGGGACAGAGGGAGGAGGATTGGAAGTTTGAAGCCAGCCTGACCTCAAAATAAAACAAAAACTTTTTGTAATAAAATATGTAAAACAGTGGATGTGTAACCGATGTGATTCTGCCATCTGTATACGGGGTAAAAATGGGAGTTCATAACCCACTTGAATCAAAGTGTGAAATATGATATGTCAAGAACTATGTAATGTTTTGAACAACCAACAATAAAAATTTAAAAAAATAAAATAAAATGTAAATTATTCTAGAAGGAAAAACATATTGAGTCATTATCAGCTCTTGACACTGGCTGTGGCTTCATTTGCACCTTATTATGTGTTTATTTCTTAGCTTTCTACTGACCCCACACAGTTTTATTGAAGAACAGGGAGAGAGGTCTGAAGACCAAGAAACCTTGCCAGAGGAGTTTCTTCATCTAAAATAAGGGAGTGGATACTAAATTATCTTTTCCAGCTCCTACCTTCAGGATTCTCAGCAATGTCTGTAGACCAGTGGGAGGAAGGTAGGTAAGAAGTTAGGCAGAGATCTAATCACACCTGTGGTACCCTGGCGCTACCAGGTTCCACCCACCACTCCTCTCCATCAGGGAAGGGTAGCAGGCTACTCAGGGATCCTCCTCCCTGGGGAGCTTTTCCAGTTTACATCTCTCTCTAAACCTTGGCAGAGTGAGCTGGTGTGTGTGGGGGTGTCCATGCGATGGCAACAACTGGAGATTAAAGACCTTCTATGCTCTGCAGCTCCAGTGCCCCCATGAGCTTGGCCTCCCCGCATCATTTCCACCGTTGTGTTGATCTGCTCTGCTCTTGTACTAGCCTCTAAACTTTTTCAGGGCAGATACTGATTCTTTTATCCATCTGGTTAAAAAAGATATTATTTTTTAATCTCCAGCTCTTTTCACAGGGCCTGCCACAAGGTAAATGCACAATCCCTGTTGCTCAATCAGAGAAAGAATAAATGGGAAAGGAGTTGGAGAGTGAACCGAGTCTCCCCAGATTTTTACGTCAGCACCGTCTTTTCTTCTTTCCTTGTTTGGAACCTTCACACTCAGTTAGACACTAAAATCCAGTGGTTCTTATTTCACAACAGTCTTTTGTAGCTGCCTCCTAAGTCCTTTCTCTCCTGCCCACAGTTTCCCTTCCTCCCCACCAGCTCACCCTTCCCTACCTGTCCCATCCGGCACAGATACGTCTTTCCAAATCGCATTTAGCTTATCACTAGCTGCTTAGAAGCATGCACTTCTCAGGACCTCACAGTCAAGACAAAACCCAAATTAACCAGCTCAGTCTTCCATCCTTACCAGCCCATTCATCCTTTCAAAAAAAAAAAAAATGCATTTTGAGCATGTACTCTAGCTTCTGGGAGAAGGTTCCATCTAAAATTCTCTGCCCAAGCCAGATGGGTTTTGACCCAGTCCTGCCTCTGAGCCCTCATGCAAACTCTCTCTCTCTCTGCACCGCACTGATGCATCTTTCCAGGGCTTGGTAAGCCCACTTCTCCCAGAGAAGCTCCTGAAGTCATCCCAGGTCACCTCCAATTTTCTTTTGGTAGCACTTGATCACAGAAACCTCAGGCTGAGTGTAGAATCAGGTGGAATCAATGTTGACGTGATTTTAAATCTAACAACCATGGGCCATCTCAAGCAGGAATGGAAAAGAAGGAACATAACAGGGCAGGAGATGGGCGAAGGCTGCAGCAGGGTCTTCGGGGCAGGAGGGAACTTGTGTGGAATGACATTAAAGGCTTCAGTGGGCTTCCCATCTTATCATCAAGGCACCAAGCAGCAGTGGGTTCTACTTGCAAATACCCACAACTAGACAATCAGTTCTTAGATTCTGACCTCATATTTGGAAACTCTTAGAACTCCAATCCCTCTTTAACGTTCATACTGCTTATAAACTCAGTGTGAATGGTGTTGAAAGGAAGAGCAGCCTGGAAAGCCAAGGCCCTGGCAGCCTGAAGAAACCCACTCTGTGCTCATAGCTCCGTGGCCCCCAAGGCCTGTGAGTAGTGCTGGAGAGAGCCAGTACATGCTGCTCATTCGGGTGCCACCGCTCAGCGTGTTTTCTTTGTTGGTTACCTGTTGAGTCATATGTTATTAAGAAAAAAAAACCCTCCCAACAAAAGCATGTTTCCTAAAGATGATGAACTACCCCAAGTCATTAGAGAACAGGACAGGTCTGAAATCTGAAGCTACCAAATCACCTAAGACGGGCAAGTTGACCTAAGATCAAAACTGAACAGGATGTGTTGGGAGATGTTAGGTCTGTGCATTTCCTGCTATAGCTTGTGGTTTAACTATTGTAAAACACAGAACACTTCCTTTTTTCTTCAGGACTAGGGCTCGAATTCGGAGACTCAATATGCAAGGCAAGTGCTACCACTGAGCTACATCCCTGGTCTTTTTCATTTTGGGTTGAGACCAAGTCTTGCTAAGTTACCCAGGCTGGCTTTGAACTTGATTCCTCTAGCTCCACCTCCTGAGTAGCTGAGATTACAGCGAGCTTCCCAGTGAGCCACTATACCTGACTCAAAACTCTTTTTCTTATTGGAAAAATAATATCCATTTGCTGCAAATAATTAAAAAATACGGATAAGCAAAAATAACAATCGGTCTGTAATCACAAGTACTTTAGTTTACATCTTTTATTTATTTTATGCATTCCCTTTCTTCCTCTTCCCCCCTTTTCCTTCCTCCCTCTCCTAGGGCATTGTCCTGCTTCTCTCTGCCATTTTCCTGCACTAGGATGATTTAAGATGGGGTCATCTACATGGATGGGGACAAACCAAGCCAAACATGGCTAATGGCCTGAGGAAAGTTCACAATGGTTTGCTAAGGGCAGGGGGTGGCTACTTTAGCTCTGGGCTCAGCAAACGGAGGAATGTGGGTTGAAAGAAACTGAAAACTGGGCATGGAGGTGCATGCCTGTAATCCCAGTGATTCTGAAGTCTGAGGCAGGAGGATTATAAATTTGAGGTCACTTGGGTAACTTAGTGAGACCCTGTCAGAAAGAAAGAAAGACAGACAGAAAGAAACTAGACAACCAATACTGACCTTCTGTTTCAATAGGAAAGTGGCGGTGACCCAAAGATTTTTCCTTTTTATTGAGGTTTTACATATACACAATAAAGTGCATAAAGAACACTCTTCTTAGTAAAGTTCTACGTTTGTTGGTACCCACTGCCCACACCCCCGTGTTCTTGGCCAATTTGGGCTGCAATAAAAGAAAGCTGTGGATTGGATCGTTTGAACAGCACGTGTTTATTTCTCTTGGTTCTAGAGGCTGGAAATCCAAAATCAGGGTGCCAGCATGATTGGGTTTGGGGGATGAACTCCTTCCATTTCACAAATGGCTTTTTCTCCCTGCATGATCCTGAGTTGATAGCACTTCTAGACAGGTGACAGAAACAGTGCAGATCTTTTGGAGGGACATATCTAAACCTAGGCCTGACAGATAAGTCTAACTGAAGGTAAACTCTCAGTTCACACACACACACACCACCATAAATTAGAATCAGCAAAAAACTCCTTAAAGAATTTAGCAGATATAGAATGTAAAACAAATAAGCCCAAAATGTTTGGCTAAAATTAAAAAAAAACAAGAAAGGAACAAAAGATATTATATAATATAATCATATATATACCAAAAAGGACACAAATTATAAATAAATAGCTTGATGGGTTTTACAACCTAAACACATTCATCTAACCAGCACGCAGAACACCAAGTCCCCAGCCCCAGGTTTCTTTCTTGTCATCTCCCACACCACCAAGAGTGACTAGTGTCCTAACTCTCATAGCACAGATTAGTTTTAGGCAGATTTTTTTTTTAACGTACTAAAGAGAATTTCTAAAAAGAAATATAATCAATAAAACTAAAAGAACAAAAAGGCAACAAACCATCAAAAGATTGAAATAGATTTGATCTGGTTACAAAAAGAAAGAATTAGATATAGAATTAATTGGATTGGAGCTGAAAACAAATCCAGAGCATGGTGTAGAGAGACGAAGAAAGAGAAGAAATGTCAGGACTTAAGTGGCATGAAGGATGGAATGGGGGAACTTAACAGTCTTCTAATAAAAATCCCATAAGCCAGGCTGGGCATGGTGGCACACAGGAGGGTGAGGTAGGAGGACTGCAAGTTTGAGGCCAGTCTCAGCACTTAAGCAAGGCCCTAAGCAACTTGAGGCCCATATTGAATAAGTAAAAGAAGCACCTTAACACATGATAGTGATACTGATATTAATGATGGAAAAAAACTGGTTGGTTCCTGGGAAAAAGACTGGTGATAATTTTAAGTACAGTGTTAAGATCAACAGCAGATTCCTCAAAGGTAACAGTGGAGGCCAGGGGTCAGTGGAAGAGTATTAGCTTCAAAATGCTGTGAAAATAAACTGCTAATGTGGAATTACACATCTAGATAAATTATCATTAAAAAATGTAGATGGAAAAAGGACTCATTTTTATATCCCAACAAGCAACAAACAAACAAAATTGTCAAATCTGAAACCCAATAAACTACAAAATAATATTAACAAAGAAGATTGAGCATCTACTCTCCACAGATTGTCACTGAAGGAACTTGTATAAGGGTGTCCAACCACATGTAGAAGGGAAAGAAAGAATTCCAGGAGAAAGTTCAGAAGTTTAAGAGGAAAAAGTGGGTGGGGGTGTAGCTCAGTGGTAGAGCCCTAGAATCTGTGAGGCTCTAGTTTTGACCTCAGCACTGTGAAAACAAGAGCAAAACCAAAAACCTACAAAAATTGAGCAAGGAGTAAAGAAATTGGTATAGATACGTGAAAGTATTCACAAACCTCCATGTATAAACAATAATAGTATCTGAGTTGTGAACCTAAAAAACAAGGTAGGTCCTGGAATGCAAAAACATGTAAGATAGGATAGATAAAATTAGAGTTAAAATATTCTGAAGTCCTCATGTTTTTAGAAAGATAGTGAATATATTTACTAATTTTATATTTTAATTGTGAATGTTAAAAAGTGGAAGGCTAACCACTAGAAGAATAGAATTAGAACAAATTTTCTTAAAATGGGGTCACAGACCAGAATATCAACATACCAGGGATGATGATGATGATAATGATGATGATGATGATGATGATGATGATTTTGGAAATGTAAATTGTTGGCTCCATCCCAGCAACCTACATTCGAAACTCTGCAGTGGAGATCAGCAATCTGTTTTAAGCATCCCTGCAGGGAATTCTGAGCCCTAACATTTCAGAACCATCAAATTAAAGTATGTACATTTGAATCCAATGTGGGTGGGAAAAGCAACTAAATAAAATCCTCAATCAATCCAAATAAGGCGGTGGTGGAAGTAGGAATATAGAATAAGTTAGGGAAAAAGAAAGCAAATAGGAAATAATTCCAAATCCACCTTAATATTGATAGATCATACTTGCCTCTAAAAACAGGTCTTCAGCTTGTGACAAGTCTGTTTGATGCTATTTACAGAGACTGCAAAAGGCCAAAAGTGAAAAGATGAGAAAACACACACCTGGCCAATAGACAAGAAGACACAGTTTCCTAAAGACCATCCCCAAGACCATCTGGATTACGTTTTTCTTTTTTTGGTACTGGGGATCAAACCCAGGGGCACTTTACCACTGAACCACATCCCCATTCATTTTTATTCTATTTCTTAAAATTTTGAGACAGGGTCTCTCTAACTTGCTGTGGGTCTTGCCCAGGGTGGCCTCGAATGTACAATCCAATCCTCCTGCTTCAACCTCCTGAGTCACTGGGATGGTAGGTGTGGGTCACTGCCCTCAGATTTCTCGGATCTTGAAAAGTTGACTTTACATTTCTGTAGAAAAGCAAAGAACCGAAAATAGCTAGAAGAAGCACAGATTTGGGATTACTCTACCAAGTGTAACTATTATTAGAGTAGTCTAAGAATTGAGAGTGGTATTGGTGATGACTTAGACTAGTAGACGAATGCTCTAGAGTGGGAAGCACAGAAAAATACTCGTGCATATATGGACACTGGTAACCAAAGAGAGGTGTGAAATGTCAGTGGGGACAGAACAACAGAGGTGTCCCACAGTTGGCTACTCATTTGGTTAAAAATAAATTTGAATCTCCATATTGTGAGTAAAAATCAATTCCAAGGTGGATTAAAGGTCTCAAAAGGAAAGGCAAGTTGGGCATGGTAGCACATACTTGGAATTCCAGCGACCCAGGAGGCTGGGGCAGGAGGCTCCCAAGTTGGAGAGCAGCCTGGACAACTTTACAAGACCCTGTCTCAAAAGAAGATATTAAAGTAAAATAAAGGGCTAAGGATGTAACTCAGTGGTTAAGTGTTTATGGGTTCAGTCCCCAGTATTGCCAAGATAAAGAAAAAAGGAAGAAAGAAAAAGAAAAGAGAAAGGAAAAACTTTCAGTTTTTACAAGTAAATGCTTATCACCTCAGGTTACAGAAAGATTTCTTACAAGTCACAAAAAGCATAAATTACAAAAATAAGATTAATAACTTCATTGACATTACATTTAAGACCTGTGCATCAAAAAGACAAAATTCAAGAATAATTAGTCATTGGCCCTGAGAAGACATGTGCAATACATTTCACTAACAAATATTTGTAGCAGGTTATATGAAATATCCACAATAGATGAAGAACTAATACTAAAAAGGAATAACCTAATAGGAAAGATAGGCAATTCACTAAAAGAAATTTTTAAAAGCTAAATTAACATAAAAAACTAATAGTAATCAGGAAAATGAATATTAATATCGCAATGAAATACCATTCCACATCCTTCAGACTGATAAAAATTCAAAATCTGACCATACCAGCTATTGATGTGGATATGAAGCAATTGATACTAATGAGAGTACAAATTGTTAATCACTTGGTAGAATAATGGAAAATATCTAATAAAGTTAAAAATATTAAACATTTCATAAGATCAGATAATTCCTCTTTTAAGTGTAAACCGGTATCAGTCAGTTTTTCAACACTACAGTGAAATGCCTGAGGCAGCTAACTTCATAAAGAAAAAAAAAAGGCTTATTTAACTCACAGTTTTGGCTACTTGGTATTGGAAATGGTGTAGCAGACAGGTAGGGAGCAGCAAGAATGCACGGGAGGGGACAGGCTTGCTCTTTTTGTAACAAACTTCTCCAGGGTCTCACAGAACTGCCTTAGGCCTCCAGAGATCTAAGGACCTCCCTGGAGGCTCTCTCTGCCTCTTAAAGGTCCCACCGGGTCCCCACGCCACCTCTGTCGACCGCATCTGGACCGAATGTGGAGAGCCGCTCTCTGCTCCATCCTCACTTGGCACACAGAGGTCGGTGGAAGGAAATCGTTTTATTAAAATCAGACTGGGCTTTTTCATCTCAAGTCTCTATCTTCCTGGGCTCAGAGGAGAAAAGGCAGGAATGGCGAGTGGGCCAGTGGGCAGGAACCCTGCGCTGGGCAGGGCCTTCCTCTCCTTTTCCTTCCCAGAACATCCAGAGGGACCTTGCCTTCCTGGAACCAGCATCTGCATTTTCTTTCTCAAGGTGACAGTGTTATGGAACCAGGGTCCTCTTTGCCTGTGGCGCACGACACCGGTCACTACAATGACAAGATCTGAGAAGAGAAAGTTTATTCACAAGCCGAAGAAGACAAGAGGGCAAGTCTCAAATCTGCCCCTCCAAGGACAAGGACTAGGGATACCTAGGCCATCGGGAAGCAGGGTGGTCCACAGCAGGGGACAGGTGACTGGAGGTTAGGTCCGCGCATGTGCAATTAAACTTCACGACTTTCCACAGGATGCATGTTCAGAAAGTGGAACTTAACATGATCTGACGGTGGAGGTTTTGGCCCTCTGATGTGAAAGAAGTCCCCGTGGGACACTTGCATAGGCCCAAGGGAAGGGTCAGTACTTTGAACCAGTTTGAGCTGGATCAAGGTGGCCTCCAAGTTTCTGACAACAAGTTTGACAACCATTACCATCAGGATGACACTTGGAGGTGTTACCATAGCAAAATTCCGGGGGTCTGACAGCATATTATTTGCGGAGTGTAGTTGACAACTGGTGGTCAACTAAAGGCAAGTAACCAAAAGCAAGTGAAATGGTTGAAATCTGGAAAGTTGATTAAGATTCCCCTCAGTTCCTACAGGAGACATGGAGAAGAGGAGTCGAAGTATTTTTCTTTCATAATGGAAAATGGGGACAAGCAAAATGCCGGCCATGGGGAGGATGGATTAATAAGGAGTCTGTTGGTAGGCTAGGATGCTAAATGACAGTGATGACTGAGTGGAGCTGCAGCGGCCAGCGTGGGCAAATTTCACCATGTTGAGCAGAATATGAAGGGCAGAGTATGCATGTCTTAGCCTGGGCAGGGGTGCTGGGTTCCACTTCTCCCCAGCTGGGCCTGGCCGCTCTCTGGGCAGGTGCTGTAAGCTTTAACAGAGACCTGCATGGACCTGCTTCTTCTCTACCTCCTGCACAATTCCTGGGGCTGAAAAGATGCCAGGCAGCTCTGGATGTGCCCAGCTCAGGTTCCAGGAAGCCCTGGGAGCACATTGCTCCCTTTGGCTGGTGCAGTTGGCTGGGGCTGCTGTTGGCTGGTGGCGGAACACTAGATGGGGCTGCCAGAATGGTACTGTCACACTGTTTTGGGCAACTCAAATTGTTTCTGTAGACAGGAGTCCTGCAAAAAAATATATCTTCTTGAACCCCTCACACCTTTGGGCAGCTCTGCAAATAAAGATCTAAAGCACACCTTGTAAGGCCTAAATTGTGGTTAACAATATTTACATATGTAATAAAAGAAGTCTGTGGAACTGGGAAGGACCAATTCAGGACAGGAGTTGCTGCCTGAAGGGAGAGTGGGTGGGGAGAAGTCTGTCTAGGGTTAGGGTCATACTGGGAACTGCTTTGGTGTGTTCTGTTTCCTAAGATGGGTGTTAGAAAATAAAAGGTGTTGATTGTATTACTTTTTATGCCTTTGGTATGTTTGAAATATGTTATTTTAAGTGAAGGAGGGAAATAAAGAAATGAAGTCTGCAGAATCAACCACTTCCTGCCCTGGGTGCCTTGCAGGAACCTGGTTATAAATAATTCTTCACTGAAACTTAATATATTTGGTTCAATCATAGAAAACTTTTATTGCTTTGATACTAATCTTAAATATTTAAATGTGGGCGTTTTCATCTCCTGATTCTTTCCAGTCTTCTGTGATAATGAGCCGGTGCAAGGAGAAGAAATCTCTTGAGATAAATAAACTGTACTGGGAAGTGGGCCCCTTGCTAAGTTCCCTCTGGAAGTGACACCTGCCTCTATTGCAAACATTTTCTTCTACATGTGGTTTCAGTTCCAAGCCAAACCCGTTCTGCAGCATGCTTTTGTACCTTGCTGAGACTGATCAGTATCAGCTTGCCAGGACTTTAAACCCCATTGATTCTTTCATTGCTTAAAAGCCTCTTTCTTTTGAAAGTCTTTGAGTGAATCATAAAATTACCATCTAAAAAGACGTAGCAGTAACTGAACCCAGGAAAGCTGGGGAGTATTTGACTGACAGCACCATAACTGACCTTCCCGAGATGAGCTTGATGCGGGAAGGAGCTTTGCAGGTGGGAAAATGCTCTGGGAAGGAAGGTACCAGGCAGGGACAGTAGGGTCCCTGGCCTGAGCCCAAAACTGGTCCTTGTCTCTTGCCGTCCCTCCTTTGCCCCAGGATTCTCACGGATGGTGGATTAGAGAGCAAGGCTCCCCTTTCCTTTATGTTCCTTCCTTTCTCAGGCTCAATTCTAAGCCGTCATCAGCAAGTGTGTAAAAGCAAGTAGGGAAGCCTATTTCAGTTACTTTCTCTAGATTTTTGGTCTCTTCCGTTATGCGTAAAATATTTTTGAAAGTATGTTTTCAAATTCCATTTCACCCTCATTCTATAAAGTACCAGATGGTAGGCATTGTTTTCTATTAATGAAAAAAAAAAGATTGGTTTTAGGGATCACATTCAAAGTGTTTGATTAACCAGGGCTCCGCTTAGCATTCAAGTACACTGCTACGCAGCTCCACTTTTGTTTTTGCCCTAGATTTTTCTCTACCTCTTTGTCTCCTCTATCTTTCCAGCCCTGTGGATTTCCTTGAGAGGAGGACTGTGAAAATTAAAGAAAAGAAAGATAGGAGAGGAAGCAAAAAAAGTATCACTTTTCTTGTAATTTATCTTTATCTTGACTTCTCATTATGTTTTTTTTTTAAATTAATATTTAATGCCCCTCAGGTAAACCTGAGCATATCTCTATCCTAAAAAAGAGAGAGAGAGAGAGGGAGAGAGAGAGAGAGAGAGAGAGAGAGAGAGAGAGACCGTCCAGTTGGGGAAGTGGGAAAAAAGGAACCTCACTTCTTGGAGGTCAGGGATCTGGGAGACTGGATTTGTAAACATGGAAGATGTTTCCAAGGCAAAAATGGTACATTTATGGAGAATGTCTTCAGTGGATGTTTTGAAGTCTTAGGAGCCTCATAGAGTGTGGGGACTGCAATTCGTGGCAGTTCAGACACACTGAGTGATGGTCGCAGGACATACTTGGTCTCCGCAGAGGGTCACCACACAGAGCTGTCCAGATTGTACTTGCAAATGTACTTTCAGCATGGTGGTGGGTGGGAGGGGACCTCAGGTTTGCTCTAGTAATGCCACTGAGGATCTAGAGAAGAGGAGGATTCGGGATGAATGGTCCACACCACAGCAAACCTGCTGCATGTCATGGGAAGGTGACCTCAGATTGGGCTCCTGGTGACTTTGACTCTTCTCTTCTGGCCTGACGGTGATATTGCATGTTGAAGGGGCTTGTTGACACTGATCTTTCTTCTGCAGCCCAGCTTCTTGGCAGAGATGTCCCGGTCTCCCTGTCTATACGTCTTCACCTGCCCTTCATTCCTAACCACCCTATGGTTTGACGTGGCTCCTCAGGTGCAGCGAAATGTCCCCTCCACTTCCTCCATTCTCCTGGCCCTTCTGAGGCTCAGCCTCCCATCCTCGGTGGCCAGGGCTGGGCAGCAGGTACTGCTTTCGCTGTCTTCCTCTCCACAGGTCCCCGGTGAGGAAACACCCTCCCTCTCAGGGCTCTTCTCATCTTTCTGGCTTCTGGTTTCTCTGTCTCTCTTTCCTTGAGTTCTTTCTAGCTTCAGGTTCAAATCCCAACACTACCATTCACTACCATGAAGGCCAGGGCCAGTGGTGTTCCTTGCTTAAACCTCAGTTTCCTTCCTGTGAAATGGGATAGCACAGCACCTGCCTCATTTGGGGGCTGAGTCGTACTTACAGAGTGACTTACGTGGAGTGTTTTAAGGAGAAAGTGCTTAATGCTTGCTAATGTCGCTGTTATTCCTTTTGTTATCAGAATTCTTGGCCAGAGGCCTTAGCAGACCAGGTCTGGCCATCACCTTGAGAGTCTAAATAGCAGAAAGAGAAGATGGTGGTGAAGCAGAAAAGGAATTGATTTCAGTTTGGCCAGACCAGAAAGCCAGCTCTTCCCTGTACCAATACCGGCCTCAGCGTCACCCAGGGGAAGGACAAGAGGGAGCCCAGAGGTGTGCACCTGCACAGCCAGCACGGCCAGCCCGGAGTCTGCAGCAGCTCTGGCTCTGTGGGATCCTGCTGGGGTCCTGCTGGCACCAGGGGTTGAGGGCCGTCTCCACTCCTAGCGTGAGGTGATTGCCTGCAGGAAGCTGGGAAGGAGAAATAGCTCAAAGGAAAGAAGAGATTAGAGGTACAAAGTGGAGTTGGTCAGGACAACAGCTGGTTCCTTCTTCAAATCCCTCCATTAAAAGGAGCCCTGTCCTCACTCTGCCCACAGCCCATCCACTCCAAGCAATGACCTTGAGTCCCTCCTGTGCTTTGAAGGGTTGACCTCCAACCTGCCGCCCTCCCGACCCCATCCTGGGTACTGCGAAAATTCCAGAGCATGTGAGAGTGAGTCTGCTTGTGTTGAGGGTGGAGTCCCTACTGCTTAGTTCCCTGGGGTGTTCCCTGGGTGACTCCATTTGCGGGCTGTGCCTCTTGGTGGCCTGGGTGCTCAGGATGGGGACCAGCTTTGACTTAAGTCCTCATGAACTCCTCACTCCCTGCCACCTCCCTGGAGATGTCTGCCTTCCTGGAGAAGCCTGTTGGGTCTGGCAGCTAGAGTCCCCCTCCCTCTGGATTCCACCTTAATGTACCATCCCCTGAGACCCCCTTGCCCTTTTCCTCAGATACAAATTTTCACTGTCTCTAGTTGAGTATGAACTTGAACCAGTCTTTTCTCGACTGCAAAACCCCAGTGGGGTAGACCCTACACCAATTGCGACCGTCCTGAGCAAAGTCTGCCTTTTAACCATTCTAGCAAGTGTCAGAGGAATTGTTTCTTCAACACATGGACGGGTTAGGTGCAGACCCCATGTGTGACTGCAGGGTTTGTGGCTGCTGGTGCTCAGTGTTCCCTGTCCCGTCAGGGCTTCTGGGTGTGAACGAGAGGATGAGCTATTAGAATGTCAATTTTGCCTTGTGCTTTGAGAAACTTATAGGAATGAAAGGCAATTGTTTCTTTTCCCGATCTCTTAAAGGCAGCCAACGTTTAAGGCCAAGATCGAGGATGGCAAAGTCCAACTCTCACAAAGATCAAGTAGGTCCGGGCTGGGGCTGAGCTCAGCGGTAGAGCGCTTGCCTAGCATGCTCCAGGCCCTGGGTTCAGTCCTCAGCACCACATAAAAATAAACGATGAAATAAAGATATTGTGTCCAACTACAACTAAGAGAGTCTGTGAAGGGTCCCTGTGCCACGGTGGGGAGCAGTGGAGACTGTGGCGAAGCAGGGAACACTAGTCAGCTCTAAAGTCACGACACATGAGAATGCAGGCCTGGGATTGGATAGCTTTGGGTTTTATTTTTCACTAGAAGGTGGGAAACTGGATTTTAGTTAAAATTGCTAGATTTTTTTTTTTTAAGCGTTGGCAAGTAGGTAAAGAAAACAGACAAGAGCTGGGCTGAAATGACTCAGCTTGGCCTCGGGCATCTGGTTGGCACAGCCTGGGCTAGGGCTCTGCTACCTCTGGTTGGGAGGGCAGCTCTCAGGCTGGGTTGCTCCCCAGCTCCGGCTGGTGCCCCGAGGAAGGCAGGAGGCTGCTGTGGACGGGAAGAGGCCAGTGGTGCTGACTGGAGACGGGGTGGTGACTGGGGTTTGGGCCTTTGGGCGTTTCCACAGGGTGGGGGTGTCATTGTATGCTGTGTGCCTGACAGATCTGGGATCAGGCACTCGGGACATGTGTCCCGGAGAGCTGCCAGCTCTACCTGAAAACCTGAGCTCTTCGGCTCAGATCTGCAGCTGAGCCTCTGTCAGGAAGAAGCATTGCACCCCACCTTGGGGAGGGCCACCTGGGCCAGTGGTGGGCACCACAGACCCTTCCTATGGGTCTCTGAACTGCCTTGGCCCAGGACTGCCTGCATGAGACCATAGGGGAGCAGAGAAAGGATCCCCCAAAACATGGCTCAGACTGGATCTTCTACCAGGTTAGCACCTGAAGCAAGCCTTATTTAATCGACTTTAAAAAAAAAGAGAGATGTAAAAATGTTCTGGGTATCTTTGTATGTCAGCATATATCCCTGTGCTTGGTATCTCCAGGTTGGGACCTTCAGCCTGAGGGTTCTGAAGACCTTGATGCTGAGAGTAGGGTTCGGGATGCAAAGATGTCTCCTTCTCCCCAAATACTGCAGTTGTCCTAAATCCAAGGTTTTCAGGTTCCACATGGCTTTCCCTGATTGAGACAGAATTTAGGAAATCATCCAGGTGCGTGGTTTCCTCTGCAAAAACGCTGCTGACTTAAGTCCTGATATCTGACACACTTGGTTTTATTTATTGCACTACTGGGGATTGAACCCTGGAGCATTCTACCACTGATCTACAGCCCCTGACCTTTTTAGATTTTATTTTGATACAGGGTTTCACTAAGTTGCTGAGACTAACCCCGAACTTGTGACCCTTTTGCCTCAGCCTCCTGAGTGGCTTGGATGACAGGCCACTACTCTTGGCTCACTTATTTTGTACACTTCCTCTTCCCTTGACCAAGTTTGTCCTATGAGCTTCAGATGTTTAAAATGGAATTTAGCAATGCTTTCACACCACATTTTTCATGACTTGAATTTAAAACTTGGAAGCAGAGTTGTTTTGTTATAAGGCTTGTATTCTTCTGAACCTCCTCTGCACACTGGAAACCTCCCATGATGGAAATGAGTTTACTGTGACCTGTGTCAGTAGCATATGATAAACACACACTTCTTAAAAAAGACTATTTACATGGAGCATAAACGAGGTCCAGAACACTGTGTCCTGTTCAAAAAATGAAATGCACATCTCTCATCAGGAGTCTCTCATTTCCAAAAGGCTGAGAAGACAGTTTGTGAATGATAATCCAGCTGTTTAAATTTAGGGCCGTGGAAAGTTTCATTGGAACTGAATTTGAGGGTGCGGCCTCTTGGTGGTTGGGTTTGTTCTCCTCAGATGTCACAGCTCAGCAAGGACGAAGAGCACATCTTTCCTTGAATCCTGAGCTTCAGAGATGTTTAAGGAACATCTTGGTCATTGATTACACAGGGGATGCTAATATTGTGTTAAGCCGAGTGCCTTCCGCCTTCCGTCTGGCCTTCCTTTCTTACGCTCTCACAACCTTGACTTTTCAGCTCAATTTATAACTTACTTGACATAAAATATCATTAGCAAGTCTAATGGAAAATTCCAGTGAAGGAGAGAACCCGCCTCCACTATGGGATGGTTAGCTATTAATTAAAGCTGACACATGCCCTCCGCGCTACCCTCCATGATGTGTGTGACAGATCAAGGTTAGTATCAGATGCCTGCGGAGGCAGCTTTTCCAGGATGGGCTCTTTCTCCACGTCACTATTGGACGTCACCCAAGTGCATTTTTTTTTCTCCTTGTGTTTATGTTTTATAAGGTGTTGCCTCTTAACAGTCGGAACGCCAGCTGGCTGCAGAGTGCAGAGGTGGTGGAATAGTGTACCAGCTCCCACGGGGCTCTCAGGGTGACCAGAGGACTCCAGGCTGGGACATGGTTGCAACAGGTCTCTCCAAGATGACATCTGGGCTTCTGAGCGAGCTTGGAGGAAAAGAAAAGATTTCTGTTTTCAAATTCTTCTACTAAAAATGAATTCCTTGGGCTGGGGTTTTAGCTCAGTGGTCGAGCGCTTGCCTCACATGCATGAAGCCCTGGGTTCCATCCTCAGCACCACATTAAACAAATAAAGATATTGTGTCCATCTACAACTAAAAAAATGTTTAAAAAAATGAATTCCTTTGACTTGTTCTCTTTGGAAATGTGTGTGTGTGTGTGTGTGTGTGTGTGAGAGAGAGAGAGAGAGAGAGAGAGAGAGAGAGAGAGAGAGAGAGAGAGAGAGAGGGAGAAAGAGAGGGAGGGAGAGAAAGTTTTGCTTCCATTTATAAAAAGTGGTGTTGTATGATATACACATTTTTATCCTCTCTGCCCCCCACCTTTATTTTTTTGGTACCAGGGATTAAACCTAGGAGTGCTTAACCACTGAGCTAATCCCTAACCCTATTTATATTTTATTTAGAGACAGGGTCTTGCTAAGTTGCTTTGGGCCTCACTAAGTTGCTGAGGCTGGCCTTGAACTTGCATTCCTCCTACCTCACTCTCCAAAGTTGCTGGGATTATAGGCATGTGCCATCATGCTCAGCTACCATTTTTCCTCTTAAAAAAGTCATCATGTAGTGAACACCTTTTCTGTCTTATAAAATATCTATGTCTGTCAAAAATTGTTTAAATAAATTGTCTAGTCTCTAGTTTTATACTGGGCTGAGCATCTTTGTAGTTAGACCCTATTAATTATTAATTTGGAATATGCTGCATATTCTTGGAGAGGAGCAATACCAAACCCATGTGCTTGAAGGTCCAGTGACCCTGATGGCCTTTTCTGCAGCCCACAGGGGCTGACTCGCGACCACCCCACCAACGGGATTAGTACCCACCCCCCCACCTGACCCATGCTGTGCTTTCTTGGTCTGTCCTTGTTTCCCTTTGAGGCTGTGCTTGACTTTAAGAATAGCTTCTGTGTAAGAATGTTGGCCCTGGTGGGACAAGGAGTCCTTAGTGACGGAGCAGGGCCAGCAGGAGAAACTGGCTCCAGAGGACACAGCCACTGCCCCCACGGGGTCCTGATCTGAGACGCGTTCATAGAACAGCAACTCACGGACCTCTTGTTCCTCCAATTGGAGCCCAGCCCTGACCCTAGGGAGGCTGCAGCCCGGGGCAGTGATGGCAGAAGAGGTGTTACCAGAGAAAAATGGGACTGGGAAAAACTTATCCTACAGAGATGAGATATTGACTCAAATTTATCACCCCAGTGAGGATTTTTTTGGGGACTCGATGGCTGTACTTGAGGTTTGGTTCATGGTACCAGCCTTCTGCAGGAAAGGTGTGGCTGTCAGCACCTTCACGGGTCAGAGGAGAGGTTTCCTGCAGACCCCTTGGGGCTGGCAAGAAGTGAGCCCATTTGGATGTCTCTGAGGGCTAAGCCACCTGTCTGGTCCGTGTGCTGATGGAATCTAGTGCTGGTCTCCTTTCACCTCGTAACTGCACACAACTCCAGCCAATCAGAGGCTGCATACTGGTGCTAGTACACAGTGTGTCTGCGGTACTTCGTGGGACCCAGCACTATTCTTTGATTTATTTGATCCTCATAAAGGTCCTGGGAGGAGTGCTGTCACTAAAGTCCACCCCACTGTGGGGACACAGGCACCCAGAGGCAGGAGCGGTGGCTTATCGGTGACAGAGCTGGCCTGGCCCTGGTGGCTGCTTCCTCCAACTCAGCTCTTTTCCCTGCAGAGCCTTCAATAGTCATTATTTTCATGAGTCACACCAAAGCCTCTTTGCAAGATATGTGGCCTCTCCATGCCTCAGAACGTGGGGTGAGTCAGGAAGTGATTGCTGTCACCCCTGCAGAGTGAACTTGCCCCCAATGTACTCACTCCTCAGCTACTGGACTTCATAACAGGTGGGCAGACAATGCAAGTAGCTACAGTGCAGACTGCCTCCTGTGGGGGAAATTGACAGACCGGCAGTCCACAGGCCACTGAATTAGAAATCCAGAGCTGGCGAGGGGGATCAGCAGCGGTTGTGACAGAGAAGCTGCAGTATGGTCCCTTGGCCAAACTCTCTCTTGAATGCCTTTAATGTGCACCTAGCAGCCTTCTCTCAGCTTCCAGGGAATAGACCTCACCGTCATCCTGAGTTAGTCTACCTCCTGATCCTGGCACCAGACTCTGTGTGTCCATCTGTCCAGCCAATCTGCAAGTGTCTTCAGTTGCTCATTCAATATCTGCTGTTGATTCCTTCCTTAGTGCCAGGTGCTGTGTGAGGTCACGGGGACATACCGAGAAGCATGACAGCCCAGGACATCTGTTGGGATGCTAAGCCTCGTGTCCATGCAGCAGAGAATAGAGTTTGATGACATATTCTGTGTTTGGACTTCAAGATGGAAATTGAACAAATACTGAGTGATTTTAGAAAGAATGTCTGTGCAGATTGTTTGTTCTCCCCAGTCTCTCAGCTTAGGGAGCAGAACGTGATGTCAGGAAGGGGGCTCACTAGTCCTCCCGCCAGGCCCCTGGTTTTTCAGAAACCTGAGGATATCTCAGGCTGAGAAAGGACGTCCTCCTCAGATGGCTCAGAGAGGCCCACAGGCAGAGATCTGAGTTGTTCAGATCAGTGCTTAAAGTGGAAAGGCTCCCCCCGCCCCAGCACGGCTAACCAGGCAAAGCTACAGGAACCTGAAACACAGACTTGGTGAGACCTCAAATTCTTTTCAACTAAAGTTGTGGCCAAAGAAACAGGGTAGAGAGCTGGTTGAAGCTCTTCCCTCTCCCTCTCCTTTCCTCCCTCTCTCCTCCTTCTCCCCGTCCCCCGGGGCAGAGAATGGCCAGGAATCATGGGCTTTGAAAGTGCCCATTACAGAAATGCTATATTATTGCCCAGGGGAAGGACAACTATGGCTTTGCCCACCAGAATTTTGCTAAAAAGATTCATTTTAGATCAGAGAAGTTGAAACAAAAGGGGAGTTTACTAGCTTCTAATTTTACTTGTCCTGGAGGAATCATGTGGGTGTAACTGCTAGGGTAAGGGTCAGTGCTGGAAATACCTTTAGGGCCCTTCTGATGACTCTCCAGTTATGGCCGCCAGTGAGCAGCTGCCTCACATTACCCCCTGGGATTATGAACCCAAGTGCTGCTGCCCCCCAGCCTAGGTACATGAGGCCCAGTGGTTACTGCATGACAAGTGAAGCAAAATGGCCAAGGACATTTTCATGCGAACTTTGCCAGCTGTTTCTTGATAATAATCTCAGGAAGCGCATGTGTGTGCACACACACATAGCCTTCATTCTGCAGGATCTGCATCTGCAGATTTAACCAAATGCAGATTGAAAATACTGAAAAACTTACATCTGTACTGAACCCAATGACTTACACAGTATTTACTTTGTATTAGATATTACAATCATCTAGAAACGATTTAAAGTTTCTGGCAAATGCTATGCCATTTTTATACAGAGCATTTGAGCGGCCCAGGATTTTAGTATCTGCAGGGCAACCGGGAAACAGTGCCCACTGGATACCAAGAGATGACAGTATAATCTATCTTTTCTTATCTGTCAATCATCTATCTATTATCTGCCACTCTATGTTTTAGAGGAAATAAAAGCTCAGTTTCAGAGGACCAGAGGAATTCACGCCTGAGCTATGGGGGTCAGTGACGAACACAAGATAGCTCCTCTATTCCTAGAGCACATTCTCCTTCACGCAGGACTCTCCGGGCTGCTTGTTCCTGCCAGGGTTCTTGCTGATGTGAAGAGTCTCTAGGTACATTATGCCACACTTGATACCAGCTCTAAAGGTTGGCATGTCCCCTGTCTCCCGTCTTCAATAAGGGCATCCCCCCATAGCAGAGAGGCTTGTAGGAATAAGAAGCTCCCCTCTCAGGTCAGGACTGGGCCAAGAGACCATGCGTCTCAGTCCATTTTGGCTGCTGTGACAAAATACCTTAGCCTAGATAATTTAGGAACAACAGGGATTTATTGCTCACAGTTCTGGAGGCGGAGCAGCCCAAGATCAAGGTGCTGGCAGATCAGGTGTCTGGTGAGGGTTTACTCTGCTCCAGAGATGGCACCTATTGCAGTGTCCCACATGGAAGGAGGGACAGGAAGCTCCTTGGAACCTCTCTTGAGGTCCCTAATCCCACTCATAGGGGTGGGCCTTCATGACTTTGTCACTTCCCAAAGACCCACCTCCTATACTATCATTTTGGGTAGTAAGTTTCCACATACAAATTTGGGGGTATACCCAGGTCCCTCAGATGGTAAATAGGTCAACAAACTAAGGTCTAACCGTAAAATGGAATAGTGTTCAGCAAAAAAGGAACAAATCATTATACACAGAACATGGATGAATCTCAAAATAATTTTGCTGAGTAAAATAAGCCAGATATATATAGTATTATTCAACTTCTGATTTCAAATGATGCAAACTTATCTACTGTGTCAGAAAGCAAATCATCAGTTGCCTGGGGTTGGGTGGTGGGTGTGGACTACAAAGGCGCATGAGGAAACTTTTGAGGGTGATGGATATGTTTGTATCTTGATTGTGGAGTTGGTTTCATGAGTGTATACATATGCCCAAATGTATCAAATTGCAGATCTTAATGATGTTTTGCATATCAACCATACCTCAATAAAGGCAAATAAGAAGAATATCTAAACTAGGGTAATCTGCAATATATATATATATTATCCTGGGGATTGAATCCAGGTGCTCTTTACCATTGAGTTCCATCCCCAGCCCTTTTTGTTTTTCATTTTGAGACAGTCTCACTAAGCTGCCCAGGCTGGCCTGAAATTTGAGGCCCTTCTGCCTCAGCCTGACTGGGATAACAGTCATGAACCACTGCAATGAATTTTAATAAGAGATGGGAAATGTCCACAAAATCAAATATTTTATACCATACAGATTGTTCATTAGTTCTCATGGGAAGGTCTTTCAAAAGAGTTACTGAACTTAAACATGAATTACCCCATTTTCTAATGTTAAAAAAACAAAACCGATTTTCAAATTTGCTGACATTTTCTGACATGGCAAGTTGTTCTTAGAGACACAATTCCTGGCAGATAGTTTTGAAAACCAAAAGTATAACAGAAAATGCACAACCTTGGCTGGGCACAGTGGTGCAGCCTGTAATCCCAGTGAGCCACAAGGCTGAGGCAGGAGAGTTGTAGATTCCAG